TGTGCCAAATTATTAAATGGTTGTTGGCCAGTTGATACTACAGACATCAGAACTCCAAAACTGTATATATCTGATGCCATTGTGTGTATGGTTTCTCTCTCGAAATTTCTGGTGCAACATATGGTAATACTCCACATATATCATTTTTGTATAATGATGATGTTTGACTAGCTGGACATGATAATCCTAAGTCTGTAATACATGATTCAACAAATTTTTTAGAATGAAGAATATTACCACTATGTAGATCACGATGAATAACTTTTTCTTCATGAATAACTTTTAAACCTTCAATAATTTGTCCAAGAATCTTAATTTTATGTTCCCATTTTAAATTTTCAAAATCTTCTGTCAAATAATTTTAAAGACTTCCATCTTTTATATATTTCATTACAAATATATATTTTTTTGTAACTGGATCTTGTGTTAATCCATAAATTTTAATTGTATCTTCATTATCATAAAACTTCATATAATTTTTGAACTAAAATAACAAATAAAATATTTAATTACAACAATAATAATCAGTAGTATTTAAAAATCTTAAACTAATATTAATAAAATAATTTACCTCATTAAGAAATTCATCAGAAATGTTATGTAATTTTTTTAATGCCACAGTCCTATTTTTACTACATCTTTTTTTATCACCTGGATACTTCTTACCATTTAACCAAGAAGCTTTGTATATAGTTGAAAAGCCACCTTCACCTATCTTTTCAATATTTGTTAAATCATCATAAGAAATCCATAAAAGGTAATATTTATTATCATACCCAATTGCTTTAAGTTGTGTGTTTTTAATCAACTCATCTAATGTTTTATTGCCACTAGTCCATCCTTCAGTTAATGGCTTTGGGTCACATGATTGACACCATAAATCATTAGTATTATATTTATAGCAAGTTGGACATGCCCCATATTTTTTATCTCTATTATATGGATCTTCATCATTTTTATAATCAATTACAAATATATATTCTTTTGTAATTGGATCTTGCGTTAATCCATAAATATGAATTGTACAGTGCCGGTCACAAGTACACATCCAATAAAAATTGCCTTTCTAAGAAATGATATTCAGCAAAATAGAAAAAACATTTTGAAAAAATAACATCATCATTTTGTTTATTTTAAGTAAAGCTATCAACTGGCGATTAGATTTTGAATATTGGTTGCATCAAGCCTGAGTTATATCAGTTTAAAGTTTGGGTTAATTTACTATGTTTACTATATTTGGAAGACCAATTTGAAACATTGTACTGTCAGACTGAGCTCGTATATGAATAATTACTTAATTTGGAAAGATTTTTAAAACTTAGATACCTTAATTTGGAAATTGTTTTACTTAAATTAGAAAGATTTTCAAGTTTTCCAAAAATTGAAACACTTTGGATGTGTACTTGTGACCGGCACTATATCATTTTTAAGCTTCATATAATTTTTGAACAATAAGATATTTAATTAAAACAATAACATTTTAAAAAATCTGAAACAAATATTAATAAAATAATTCACCTCATTAAGAAGTTCATCAGAAATATCTTGTGGATTATGTAATTTTTTTAATGCCACTGGCTTGTCTTTAGTAGTTTTTTTTTTTTATAACCATTTAACCAATTAGCTTCATATATAGTTGCAAAGCTACCTTCACCTATCTTTTCAATATTTGTTAAATCATTATAAAGAACCCATTGAAGATAATATTTATTACCATATCTTGTTTAATATTAAGTTTCGTTTGTCTATTTGTGACGATCGTTACTAATATAAAATTTTAATGCCAAGACATAAAATTTTAGTGCTACAATTACATCCTATATACAATACTATCTTAAAATACAAGTAAATATATATTTGTGTTGAATTTTGCACTATTATTATGTCCTTTTATACTTGTATTATTTAATGCACACTACTTATATTTTACACAATTAAGCAATACGATACTTGTTAATACGTAGACCGAAGAAAAGTGACTGCGCAAACGCCTTCGGTTAACAGGGTCGAGTATATATTAGTATTAGTATAAGAATTTCCATTTCCGAAAATTTAAAAGTAAAAGTGAGTAAAGTCTTTTTGCTAGTGATAACCTCTGTCTGATATAATTGAAGTTTTTTTTTTTTTTAAATTCGAAAACCGACAAAATTTAATTTGGGATCATCGTGATTCTCAAAAAAAAAAAAAGCGCGTCTGCATAATTTTACATTGTCATACACATATATAAACCATCAACTAATGTCACGATGATAATCCAAGTCTAATTTAAGCTGGTTTGTCATTTTCCTTTTGTTTTTTTTTTAACAATAATAATAACAAAAATGTCGACAAAACGTAAAAGTTCACATTCTATTGGTTCTCGATCTGGTTCAACAATTTATACCATAGCTACAACATCAACCACATCTACACCCTCAACAACAACAACTACAACTACTACAATCACATCACCCTCAACAAATTCTTCTAGTTCTCCAACTTCTACTAGTAGTACGGGGCCAATTGTACCAGCACCCTCTTCTTCTAGTTCCAGTAGTGGTAATAGTAGCAAGTTCTCTTCTACAAGTAGATTTAATAATAATCCACTGAGTAGTAGTGCTAAAAGGTAAATGCATAATACTTAAATACGGATTCTTAAAAAAATTAGATTAATGATTTTGAAATTCTCGTATAAATTTATATATTAATTAATAATTATTATTAGAATTCAAAAAGAACTTGCAGAAATTAGTCTCGATCCACCATGCAATTGCAGGTAAGATGGGCATTTTCGCATAATTGTAAAATGCATTTCGTATAATCTCACTAATTGCATTTCATATAATGTTACAAATTGCATTTCATACATTTACATTTCACTGATTAAATAATTAAATAACAATTATTAACACTAGTGCAAGTCCAAAAGGAGACAATTTATATGACTGGGTGTCTACAATCACAGGACCGGCTGATTCGCCTTATGCTGGCGGAATATTCTTTCTTGATATTAATTTTCCTCAAGATTATCCATTCAAACCTCCAAAGGTATGAAATGATAATACTACTTGTGTGTTATTTATACGAGCATTATATGTGTGATGATATATAATTTCCGTGTGTCTTCATTCTATATCTAATACATATTCCGTACGTATCCTTCTATGTATATTAATTTGTTAGGTGGTATTTCGTACACGTATTTACCATTGCAATATCAATTCTTCAGGTCAAATTTGCCTTGATATTCTTAAAGATAATTGGTCTCCTGCTTTAACAATATCAAAAGTCTTATTATCAATATGTTCATTATTAACTGACGCTAATCCATGTAAGTTGATGATTTATTAATATTAACATTGTGCCTTGTAAAATTGTCATAACAGCAACAATAAAATAATAATAGTAGTAGTAGTAATAACAATAATAGTAATAATGATAATGATGATAATAATAATAATAATGCTACTAATAATAATAATGTATTACTTTAGATGATCCTTTGGTTGGAAATATAGCAAATCAATACTTGTATGATAGTGAAGAACATGATAGAATTGCAAAAGATTGGACTAAACGGTAGTTTATTTATTTACTATGGCAATTTATATAATTATAACAATTATAATGATAATAATCATATTTTATATTTATATTTAGATATGCATCTTGATTATTTAGTGTAGAGAAAATATCGTCATATTAAATTGATCAAATTGATCATTAATTGTTAAATAATAAATTTATATTATTTTTTTTTTTAAAGAAATAAAGAAATTTTTTATTGATAACAAAGTCTTTTATATAAAATTTATATAGTAAATATTTATTTAAAAGTAACTCGAAACCGCATTAATTAATTAATCAATCTAATTGATTTCATTATTTTTTAATTTTACAATCAGCTTTGCATTATGTTAATAAGTAATAAATAATATTGATGGTTGTTATTGCCGATCATGGATTTATTAAATGGGTATTTTGAAAGAAATTCTAAGTTTATTGCCTACAAATAAAGGCCCAACAATCAATCCAACAAATATAATAAACATCAACAAAAATAACAATCCATAAGTCCAAACAATTCTTCGTCGACGTTTTTTTTGCTTAATTGAATAAATTGGTGGCCTGATTTGTTTACTTGGCCTCAACCAAAATAACATTGTTGAATGTAACTTATCAATCCAAGGTATAAACAAAAATGGTATCAACATAAACAGTAGAATATGCCCTATTACAAAATCAGTTGCAAAAAGCGACATCTCCACAATCTTACAAATATATTCACGAAAAGGTTGCGTTAACGTCAACCCAAATCCAAATCCACGTCCATACCACTTTCCACTCCACCACGCTCTATTCGTTTCATCATGCTTTAACTCACGTGTTAAAAATAATGCAATCATCAATTTGAAAATAAATCGTTGTATTGCTATCAATACTATCATACCCAATATCGCATTACTTAATCTCCATGATTCAAGATACCATAATATCTCAAATGTCCCTATCAAATTTACAATCGCAAATGTATGCACTACCGCTGCTATTATTGATCCAAACTTTTCAAAAAATAAACTGATGCTTGATCCAAAAAAAATCGATAGTATGAAAAACCCTAATAACATTACAGCATTCAATAATATAGGTCCAATAGCTATGATGATCACTCTGATGATAGGGCTTGGTCCATTATTCGGATTACCGGGCTCTTTGGAATCAAAACTTTTTATAAATGTGAAAACTATAATACAAAGTACTGCTATTACGAATGGTGAAAAAATCTCTGAAAAAAATATCACAAAAAAACTTGGCCTAGTCACATCTATTCTTCCGCCTCCAACCGTCATCACAACTGACTTTTTCTTCGAGGATGACGAAGAATGCCCCAACTTCTTTTTTTTGTAACCTGTTACCATTGTTCTTGAAATTCTACAGTACGATATCCATGAATTTAAATGTGATTTCGAATTGCCTCTAGACATCCATCTCAAAAATTCTCGATAATCAATTATGAAATCGATAAATGAGAATTGATGTGGATTAAACAGGAATGGTGAAATGCATAAAGCAATCGCCGAAACCCAAAAATATATTAGATGCGGTAGCCACATTGTAATCGACACAAATATCAATATTACCAGAATTCTCATTCCTAAATAAATACTCGATCTTGTAAAAAGTGAATACAGCACTGAAAATGGTATGCGAGCTGTTGCAAACCCTCGTCCAGTAGCTATATATCTAGCTCCACCAAAACTAAGATTTGTTAATATACTATATGCATATATTTGAGTAGTAAACACTTCGAAAAATGGTGACAATGATATAAAATGTCTCCCAAGTCGTAAAATGCTTCGAATCAATCCTTTCTCGGTCAATTCTTGTAGAAATAATGACAAGAATGAAATAAAAATGACAAGAAATATCGAGGTGATTGACCGCTTTATCCAATCAAATATCGGTACTAAATTATAACATCCTGGTGGGTACAATGGTGCCTCCAGATCTGGATTATATTCACAAAGATCATGTTCTAAAGTGATCGTCAAAGCACCAATAAACATCATTCCAATCATAAACAGTTGCATGGAGAACATTATAAAAATATTATTGATATGAAATCCAGGATGTGCATAATAAAATGTTAAAAAACGATCTAAGGGAAGTTGTGTTCCTATATAGTAATATTCTCTAGATAACATCTGTTCTCCCATCCCAGTACCAATTTTTGTTGTGAAATGAAGAATTGATCCAAATCCAAGATCACGTCCTTTGCCACATTGATAATATTCGGTATGTTTTATTCTGCCACCACGACAAAATGCATTCATACCCGCATAAATATCTTCATTAAGATGTAGACCTTTTTGTGCTTTGGACACTCCACCACGAGTTGTCATGAAAATTGCATTCAGAAAATCTGGATGTCCATAATGAAGTCTACCGCCGATTTTCGCCATCATTCGTTGAGTCAAAGTACCAAAAGTTTGCTCTTTACCAGCCGCTACATCACCCAAAACGCCATAATTTTCCGAAAAAATATATTCACGAGCCCCAACAATCGCCACAGGATCTTTATTACTATAACAATTTTTATTAGTTTTGCTATCATGGTTGTTGCTGTTGTTGGCATCATTGTTGTTGCTGTTGTTGTTATTTTCTTCCTCTAAAACTTCGGGCGAGTATGGTGATGTCGTTGGCATCTCATACTCTTCAAATTCACCAAGTATATTACGAATTTTTAAACATTCTTCCAGATAATTGTCTTGATTGGCATCTATCAATTGTAAATATTCGCCACGAATAAATATTATAGCATGGTTTTGATTGTCGGCTTTGCCATCGCCAAGTATAGAATTGCCAGGCAATTGTATACGATATTTCGGTTTACGTCTACCATCTTGTAATATTTCACAATGACCATCTATGAGTACAGAATAAACTTTATTTGTTGATGATAATGACGTTGGTAATGATGATCGCTGCTGCTGTTGTCGTTCTTGATTTAGGTTTAAATCTTGTTCTTTAATCACTTGCTCAAAAAATATCTCTTCGTCCAAATAGGCAATTTGAAGATCTGGATATATTCGAAGTAAAAATTCCACATTTTCCTGTTCCTCCTTACTGAAACTATTATACCGTTGCATTGAAACTACAAATCTAAACTTTCTACGAACAATAGAATTCAATTCATTAGCGAGTCTTTTTGGATTAATTTGATTATAATTATAATGATGATGATGACGATGATGATGATTATAAAGATTATTATAGTTTGAAATGATATCAGGGTTTTCAATACGATATAAAAGTTTAATAGCTTTAGCATAATTCATAAATCCGGAAATTGTACGATACAATGTTTGTGAACGAAGTGATGCCCATATTCGAGTACGTAAAGTGAATTCAGATGCTGAAGATTTGAATCCGACTGAATATAATGGTAGATCATCTAAATTCTTTTCAAATTTTTCTTTTCCTGATCCTACCTTTATTTGAACATTATCATCATTGATATTAGTACTGTTATGGTTATTGTTATTTGAATTATAATTGTTAATACCGTTGCCATTATTGTAATTATTTCCACTATTTCCATTACAATTACCATTATTATCGTTAGTAAATGGTGATGTTAGATCATAGTTACTCTTTGCAAAATTTTTAGTATCTTTTACAAAGTTAACCCATTCAATAGGATGTAATTGTTTCAAATATTCCAACAGAGTGACACGAGTATTCTGATCCTCCTCACGGATAATTTCTCTGAGTGAAAGAAGAACTTTTTCCGAATAGTGGGGTGTCAACACAGTAAAAGTGGGCATGTTTTGAATCGGTAAAGGGTCAGGAATTGGTGTTGATAAACTTTGAGCAAAAAATGAAATACGACGTTCTGCTTCGCTTGATGATGGGTAATATTGATTATCAAGATTTTTTGATACAAAAATATTTGGTTCTTTAAACATATTTTTAGAACCATCAATATGTACCTAAGATCATAATAATAATAATAAAATAATAAAAGATTATGATTAATTGACAAAAAAAAAATAATATCAAAGATATAAAATGAGTACCTTTTGATAAAGTAGTTTACGTAAATTATCAATGGATAATAAATGTTCATAATACATAGTAGTAACAATTGTATCCCATATCTGAGATACCAAAAATTTTGCTTTATGTTCAAGTTCCATATGATTCACAGCTAATAATTTAGCATAAATGCGTTTTGGAAGCATTGAGAAAATGTTTTGCCAAGGTGTCCAAATCGAAATGCCGATTGTAAAGGATCTAATCACCGAAAAAATTGAAATCCAAGTAACATACCAAAGATAAGTATCCAGAAAAAATAATACCAAATCTGTGATGAACATTATTATTATGGCCATTGTAGGCATATATGTACATAAAATGTTTCCAACAAGTTTTTCACCACAACCAACAACTTTTTTATCATGCATTGCTTTTAATGGATCTTTGAAAGAGAGCGATAGAAAGAAATATGACTCGACAAATTTACAAGTAAAAATACAAATCCATAAACCTATCGAGATAGCACGATCCTTTTTATTTAGTTTTGGAAAACTTGATGTGAATGTTTGCAAAGCTTGGATTTTTTGTGAATTTTTTGAATAGCCGCCAAATAAACTGGTACATGGAACTATGGAGAATGTCAGTGTTGTGATTATTGAAATAAAAAATTGAGCCATCCCAATAATCAAAGAATAGTACAAGTCACGAGCCATCATACAAATATATACTGTAGGTGCCGAATTGACAATAAGAATCAATAATAAAATGAATAATCTACGTGACAGCATGGTGATATTACTTTTGGATAAGGGTATAAAGAAGAATTCACAGATACATCCTGCAATCATGAATAAAGTTGCCAAAGCACCACCAAGGGCCACTACTGACCATTGAACAGCAGGTTCAGGATTTGTGATATCCATGTATAAGAACGGCGCATTAAAAGCAGTATAATACCAGAATACCGAGATATGAATTATCCAAATACGAGAGAAATTTACAGCTAAATGAAGCCAAGTACGTTTTTCTTTGTAGGTTTTTTGAAAGACACGTTTCCAATACACATGACCTAGCATTAAATATCTTTGTGAGTGAGGTAGTGACATCAACTTTGTTTTTTTATCCTTCAAAATTATTCTATTCATGCTCCTAGGATACCAAAATAACTCATTAATATCATCGTAACCAATGATGTCGGCATGATCTTTTTCTCTTCTAACAAAATTTCCATCTACAACTTCATAACCTTGATCACGAATATAATTGTAAAGTGGCATGATAACATTTCTCAGATATTCACCTTCTGGTATAGGGTCAACCGTTGATTTACAATTAGGACTTTTATAGTAATCATAGGCCAACTTGAAAATGAAACATAAACACTCGCTGGTAAACCTGATTACAGATGCTTCACCCCATAACAATAAATATAGTGCTAATTGTTTGACATAGTCATTCGGAGACATTGAGTTCATTTCCTGATACCATTTCTCCAGTTGTTCATTAGGTTTTATAGCAGCAGTAGAATTTTCAACAGCAGAACCAGATTGATCATCCTGATACATGCGAGCAGCAAAATACCATTTTCTATAATTAGCATTAACACCACCAATATAATCAGCGTGTAAAGTTAACAGAGCTTGTGATGGAGACATTCTTGAAGCACGAGAGTCTAGCATGCACATCAAATGGTCAAACATGTTACGTCTGTTGTCATTTTGGAAACCAAATTTCTTGGTAAGATCTATAAAAATATCTTCAATCCCATCCTTTGAAATTGTAATATTGTCCGAATTCCATATATAAGGTTTTTTCGAATGATTATTATTATTATTATTATTATTATTATTATTATTATTATTAGGTGGTGAAGAATCTAAGCCAAAATAATCATTATTGTTTGTGGTATGATCGTCAAGAGAATGATCGCCATTTAATGAATCAAGACCATAGGAATAATGAGATGGAGAAAAGTAACGATAAGAAGGTTTACTATTTTCTAAAATTTGTTGCAATGTGTCTCTGGATGTAGCATATAATGAATATCTTGTATCATCATCAGCTATACCAATTGAGCAAGGGTCAAGATTCGTTGTATCTTGACTATCAGAGTCAGAAGTCAAACCACCACACCTTTTACCTTTCTCATTTATTGAAGGATGAATGGGATGATGATTAAATGCTAGATTTTTTTGATCATTTAAAAAAAAAAATTTCAAAAAATTTTACATATAACTATTTCGATATATGATAAATGGATATTAAAATTTACATACCATAATTTTGACATGTAGTATTATCCAAATTAATTGAATGAACTGCATGTGGTTGGTCAGCTTCATAGTCATCGTCGTTAGTATTGTTTTTTTGAGTATTATTAGGGTATTGTAATAACGATATTACATCAAGTGAATTTAAATGTGGTGAATATTGATGTTTTTGATTAAACTGATTATTATTATTATTATTATTATTATTATTTATAAAAGGATAGTTAGGACAAGATTCCCGAGAACCTGAAGTTTGAGTTGTGTTGATGGTAGAGGAATATGTGGTAGATGAAGAGATGGATTTGTATTTTGGATTTAATAAGAATTGGGAATTTATGCGTGTAGATCCATCATCATCGTTAACATTACCGTTAATATCATTATTATTCATATCGTATACGCGTTCCTTTTTTTTATTTTTCTTTGAATTAATTAATTAATCGTTTCAATTAAATTAATTAAAAGCAAAAAGACAAAAAAAAATTTCTTTTCGATTTTAAAGGTTTTGTTATCATTTTTATCATTTTCTTATAATGTTTATTTTTATAAAATCGTTGTGGTTGTTAATGATGAGTATATTTTATTGAAAATTATATTTTGAAAAAAAATATAAAAATAAATTATAGAAAAAAGAAACAAGTTAGATATTATAGATATGTGCGTGGGAGATATATTCGAGAGAGATACTTGATAATTCGCATAATCCATGACTGAAAATTATAATTGTTATTATTATTTTAGCTAATTAATTACATAATATTACGGCTTAATAGAAATCACTTATAATTAACCTTGATATAATGATGATTAAAGAATTAGTAAATTAAAATGACTAATTATATTTATTTATTTTACATTTAATAAAAGATGATGAATTATAATAAATTAAAAAAAAAAAATGCAATTGAAAATTTCATACAAGTATTACACTGACCAAATTTGGAATTATCTGCAACTTTTTATCTTGGAAATTGAAAATCTGATAACCGATTAGATTAATCTGCAACACTATGAATGAAAATTCCAATTTAGGAAAAACAAATCCGTTCTTTATTCACGTAAAAATTATGGAAAAATAAATATAAATGAATTCTCTTTTTTTCATTCAATCTTTTAAATTATGCCCCTTTTAAAAAAAGTTTTTTTTTCCTCTCAAAGAAAAAAAATTATTTTTGAAAGGGGCAAATATATCATCAAACTACTACTTACTAATAATTCCTAACATTTCTCCAAACTCCAAATTTTCCCTCCCAATTTTAGTTTTAATACTTTCATTAATTTATAGAAATATATATATATATATATATATATATACACACACACACACACAATAAAACGATGCTTAATAGAATAGTAAAGAAACAAAGGCATAAATATGAACATTTTTTCTTTTGCATGAAATTGCGACAAGGAGTCATTATCTCGGCTGTAATATGGCTGGTAATTACTTGATATCATGTTAGAAATGTCATTAACGTTCATTATAATATTTAATAAATTCAATTCAATTTATCTATAGATTATAGGCTTGCTTTCTGCGGCATATTTTCTTAGACCTGCATTTGATACCAACAAGAATACTAATAGTAATTATCAACATTTTCAACTATTATTGATTTTCTTTTGCTAATTATAATGATAATTAATACTATTAGTATTTTATATATATAATAGTATTTGGATATCTTGGAGCAATTTCAACATTTAATGCCATAGTATTCATATCTCTTTCATGTGTGGCTTCATATGGTCTTGTCGTATTTTTCTTTTTCGGCGTAAGAATTTGGTTTTATTTTTTTTTTATATATATTAACATTATACTAATTAACCATTCATACGTCACGATATATAATTATAATAAATTAGAAATCCATAAAATTATTTCGTATATATTCATATACTACATGGTTTATTTCAGTATTCTCCGTAACAGTAGTAGCTATTGTCACGACTTCCGCAATAATGATTAGTAAACATGACTTTAGTAATGTATGCGCACAAGAACTAGCCCCAGACCCTAAGGACATGGCTAACACTATGGCATCATATAAAAATTGTAGTAATAGAGTGGACAACGATTTTTTAAAGTCAATAATTGAATACGTAATAATAATTTCCGCGAATGTATGTATAAATACGCTCTTGTACAAAATACGCTCTTGTACAATTAATTGCCAATATATTAATCAATTAATTACTAATGATTATTAATTGTTATTGCAGGTATATTTTTCACTTATTATACAATTTTACATTAAACAATATATTGTAAAAGAAAGGAGGAAGTCAAGAAAAATAGCGAGACGTGAATTAACAGAAAAGAAACATTTATATAATATTGGCAAAAACAGTAGAGTTGACATTGTCGATCCAATAGAACAATCTGAGCCCCAAGAAATTGTTATCAAAGTTAATAATACTTATGATGATTAAATAATTTAATAATTTAATAATCTAATCATTTAATAATTTATTTAATAGTAATTTAGATTTATTAATTTAATTTTAAATTTAATTTGAATTAATTAATAATTTATTTAATAATAATTTAATTAACAAAACATTTCATTTTTTTTTTCATTTAATAAAAATCACACTACCGCTTATTAACTATCAATGTTAATGTTTATCTTTATTACTGTTTATCTTTATTTTTGTTGGTGTCATTATAATAAAGTAAGGATCCAACTATTGTCATCGAATTAAAACTTAAATCAACGTTTGAACTAATGATAATCAGATCATGTTAATTAATTGATGGTAAAAATATTAATTAATAAACAAATATAATTAATAAAAACAAAAAATTTACCTTACTACTTCAAATTCAATAAATCTATCAATTAATTTTTCACCTGTTCTCTTATCTATCCAACTTCCTACAGTTTGTTGCGTCGTCACTAATTCCAATTGAATATTTTCTATTGTAAGCAATTTCTCAACCAGGTCATTTTGCCCATCCCATTCAAATATCTCATTAGGCATGTTTGTATAAGGAATCTTTACATTAAATATATCAAGTACCAATAATCCAATATGATTGTTTGACTGACCCACAACTTTACCAACTAAGTATGGACAAAAAAATTGTTAATTTGGTGAAGGAAGAAAAAAAGTTTTTTTTAAAACCTTTCAAATAAAAAATATATTTACTTAATTTACTGCCATTTGGTGCTGACCAAATAGTCCAATCTGCCTGAACAAAAAAATGCACATATGGTGAATCTTCAAATATATATCCTGAATCATCTAATTTTACCAAATTTTCATAACTCATTACAAATCCGCCTAATTGTTCATTATATCTTATTCCAATTCATATGAATATGGACATGTGTGAATTGGGATTAAAAATATCACGTGAATCAGAGAAATATAAAAAAACAAGCTTACTTCATTATTAAAGAATTCATAATTGTATAAACACTTTCCGTTGGATTTTTATAAGCCGCTGGTGGAAAATCTATTAAAATCTTTGCTGTCACTTTGCGTATTGTAGTATGTATAATTGAAGAAGTTGTGGGTCTTATGATAGCACCAATAGTAGATTCATCCTTCTGATCACTTGATTTTTCATCTTTCTTTTCCTTCTTTTTCTTTTTATCTTTTTTATCATGATCGGTTTTTAATATTGTGTCATTGTCTGTTTTTACTGTTTTTACTTTTTTTACTTTATCTTTTTTTATAGTTTTATCTTTTTTTACTTTATCTTTTTTTATAGTTTTATCTTTTTCTATAGTTTTATTTTTTTTTATGGTTTTATCTTTTTTTGCTATTTTATCTTTTTTATCTTTTTTATCTTTTTTATCTTTTTTTACTAAGTCTTTTATTTTACCCATTTTTTTTAATTATTAAAAATATTAGTATTTAGTATTAGTAATAATGTTAATCATCATTGCGTTACATTAAGATTTTCTTTCATATATTTTTATTTCTGAAAAATAAAAAATCATGTCATTAGCAGGAGCATTGAGATCGGCAACAACTTCAACAATTAAACAAGCTGTTAACAATTCAACAACAAAAGTAAGACCTAGGATTCAAAAAAAAGCAGCATTGACAATCGTAAGTTATATATATAACTCGCAGTCTTGTAATTATCATATCAAATTTTATTTATTTTAAAATACTAATGAAAAAAAGACGCCTTCAGCTGTAAAGAGACTACGTCAACTTGTCGAGGGTCCAGATCCAAAATTGATCAGAGTAGCTGTAAAAAACAAAGGTTGCGCAGGATTGTCTTATGACTTGGAGCTCACCAAAGAAAAAGGAAAATTTGATGAAGTGGTAACTCAAGAGGGTAGGAATAAATTTTTTTAATTATATATTATTATTAATGATTACTTTTTTAATTTATATCTACTATATTTACATTTATTTATTTATTTATTCATTTAGGAGTTAATGTTTTAATTGATTCTAAATCGCTTTTTAAAATGCTTGGTTCAGAAATGGATTATGTCGAGGACAAATTATCTTCTAAATTTGTTTTTAATAATCCAAATGTTAAAGAAAGTTGTGGATGTGGTGAAAGTTTTTTGATATGAGAAAACATATTTGTGAATGATACAAGATATCAAAGAGACATTTTTCACACTTTGTTTAGATATTTAGATAATATTTATTTAAATTATTTTATTAGCTATGAAAAAATAATAATAATGGTTAATATTTACATTAATTAAAAAAAAAGTATATTGAATAGTAATAAACAATAATTATTTATAAGTTTATAAAAAAAGAAAAAAAAAAGATTAATTAGAAAAGAGAAAATTATTTAGGAATTTCCCACACCCAACTATTATAATTAATAATTACTATTAATAATTACTATTGTCACTCTATTATCAATTACTATTATTATTATTAAAGAAATTATGTGTCGATTTTTTCCGAAAAAAATTACATCAACGAAAATTTTCTATATATAATAATGTCCGGGATATTAACGTTTTTTGATGAGAAAGTCTTTCAGATTTCGGTATTAATAATAATATATAGTAATATTTAATATATAATATCATTATCATTATTATAAGTTTTTTTTAAGATTTAGCAGTACGTCTAGTACTACGAGTAGTAATTTGTGTTGTTGATGGAGCAATAGTATTAACTTGTTGAGTAGCAGTATTAGATTTAGATCCATTTGTAGAAGAAACGTTGTTACCACCAGAACCACGTTTAGGTCTTTGTTTTTTATTTGAAGAAGAATCATCCTGCACCACAATTGTTATAGCTTCATCATTATAATCATTATCATTTAGAGAATCATCACCTTTAGCAGCTGCAGAACGAGTTTTCTTTGTAGATGGTCCATCCTCTGTCACGTTTTCATCTGGATTATCATCTTTCCTAATACCAGATATTGTACGTTTATTTGCTCTGGAAGTATTTTTTCTAGAAGAATTCGCTTCTTCTTGTTGTTGCTGTACATTTTCAAAAGAGACCGTGTTACCAGATTGTTTATTAGTTAATATGTCTTGCATTGAATATAATTGAGGGTCTAAGAATTGTGTAGTAGCAGTTGTTGTGGTTGTGGTGGCATTGGAAGAATGTGATGGTGGAGCTACTGAAGTTGGAATTTGCACTCTTCCAACAACATTATGATTTTGAGCCATCATTTGTACTGGTATAAACGTGTTGCTGCTATTACTAGAAGAACCTATTGTTGATTTCATTCGTTTATTAGATGTATTATTATTATTATTATTATTATTATTATTATTGGAACTTTCACCACCATTATCTTCATTTGATGTTAATGAAACTGGTGAATCAGCATGATGACCTGCTCTATAAGCACGAAGTTCTTCGTCATATCTTTCTTTATCAGCCGAATAACGATCTTCATATACCTTTTAAAATTTAAAAAAAAAAAAAAAAAAAAATGAAAAAATAAAATTTAATAAAAAAAGATTCAAAATATATTATGTAAATATAATTTACCTTTTTTTGTTCACTAGAAAGAGCTTTCCATTTTTGGCCAATCATAGTGACTATTTCTTTTTGATTTGCTTTTGGATTAGCATCTTTGGTCTCTGGACGAATTTCATTGCTAAACAAAATATATGCAGTATTTGGTCTTTTCGGCGCATTAGGATCTTTTAATTGATTTCTTTTAAATTTTCGTACTTGATTTCCTCCTCCTCCTGTTGATTGATGTTGGTTATGATTATGAACATTACTATGATGCATGTGTCGTGAAATACTAGCAGTATTACTGCTACCGCCACCACCAATACTAAAACCAGCAACATTACCACCACCACCAAATGATATCATGTTATTATCATTATTATTGTTGTTATTATTATTATTATCACCAGGTATAATTCCTACGTCTCTTGGAATAAGTGACTGAAATTCATCACATGCTCTTGCTGCGTATCTAAGAGCGTTTGCAACTTGAGTGAAAGCATCAACAAGCTTAAATTACACGTATCATTTTAATAGATAAAATTTTGTCAATATGCTTGAGTAATGATGATTTTATACTTTTTTATTATTTGGTAAATTTATTGTCAATGGAGAAAGAAAAAAATCGTATTGAATTTTACTACTTACGATTTCTTTTTTATGATTTAATTGTGACAAAAGTTCTGGATCAATATTTTCAGTTGTAACAATATTATTATTATCATTGTTGTTGTTGTTGTTAGGACGCGTGTCAGCGGGCATTTTTTATTATTTTATTTAAGTATATTACTTTTTTTTTCTCAAGTAAAAAAATAATTATAAAATTTATGAATTAAAGAATTTTTTTAAAAAAAAAAAGGTAATTTCAGAGGAACACAAATTTCTAAACAATTTCCAAATATGATTTTAAGGGTAGTATGAGGTCATGCAAATTTTGATTATCGTTATTTAACAATCTATAAATTTGATTTGACATGAATAATAATAAATGTTAAACTAAGCTTATATTTCCCTATTCTCTAACTAATTTTGACTTTAAATATCAGTACAATAAATTTGTCTGCCAGACAAACCCATTCTTAAAACAACAAATGTTAGTTTCGAATCTGCATCTTGTTGTTTTTCAATTGTTAAATACTCTTCGTTTTTAATATTCCATTCCAAAGATTTACCAACAATCTTAAAGATCTCATCCTCCGATTTTCCAATAATGATGGCAACACTTTGGCCAGCTGCCTTGAGTTCCATCCAACTTAACACATTCCATTTTGATATAAATTTCAATAATTGTCCTTTTTCTAGTGCTTGTCTTTACTAAATGAATTGTTTCTCTGCTCATTTTCAAGCTCGGAGGATTCACCTGTCACTCTTGTTCAATGTTTGCATGAAGAGCGAGAATCAGTGTGTCTATAAAAGCTTATTTCAAAGCCTCACCATTGAGTGCTTATGCAATTTTCTATACAATTTTTTTCCTATAGCATTGGTTATTTTACTCAAAGCATAAAAAATATATTATTACCAATACTAGATGATGTACCATACAACACAGTAACTTGGATTATTCCACTGACAGTTTCTTTTGTTTATCTAATTTGTGCAATATCTGCGTTAATTAAAAATAAGAGAATTAGAGAGATGTCTTTTTTTCTTGATATTTTTTCAGCTATAGTGATTCCAGTATTCTGGATCGTTTATATTAAAACCACACATGATATCGATTCAATTAGTATAGTATTCATTACATTATTTGGCTTGTTGTTAATTTTTAACACCTTAAATTATAATAAAATATTGTTACACGTGACTTGTTACAATTCTATTCCTTTGACGGATGATTTTCTTCATTTGGGCCTATATATAATAATAACTTCATAAAATCATAATAATAATAAATAATAACAATAATCAATCACATTACATTGATGGCGACCAAATTTCAATCCCTGAAATCTTTGGTAATTCATTTTGTTGCGGTCCAACTTCAAGGAATTTAAATACTTTTTGAAATTGTGCAAAAAATGGGTATCTACAATGTCGTGGTAATTATAATCCTTCATTTATGAAATGTAATTTTTCGTTTGTGAAGTCAATAATGATGAAATATTTTGTAATTTTTTTAAAATACTCGTGCATTTCTTAATGAAATATAATATGATGATAAATAAATATTCAAATTCTGTAATTGAAATCGGTATCAATCAATCAATGATATCAAAGATGTATAAAAGTATAAGCACACAGTCAGACTCCTATATAGTCACACACCTCGGGACCATAGTGAAATTCAAGAATTTTGGTGACTATAGTGTTTGTGACTATACAGGACATGTTTTTACTATGATTAATTAGTAACAAAAAAATGTGACTATATAGGAGTCTGACTGTAATAATACAGTTGGTGCCGTTAATTTATGAGAAAAACAATAAATTCTACTTTTTCAATATTATTATTATTATTATTATTATTATTATTATTGTCCGCTAATTTTTACGGATCGAATACTTTCATGGGAATTCAAAATAGTGGATAACTACATGATTATTGTGCAAACTTCCACTGTGTTTATTTATTAGTTATTCTGATTTTTAAAAAAATCATTCCGAATATTTAAATTTTTACAGGAAATTTTTTTAAGCAACTTCATTATAGTATTCCTAATTAAACATTGACATATATTCACCGTTGTGATGTGAAGAAAATAGATTATAATAATCTTCTGCATATTCTGATGCAAAATTAAACGGACTATCACCTTCTAAATGTTGGTTGAGACAAGTACGAAATGAGCATTTTTCTTAATTTCCATTTTTCTTTCCATGAAATCAACCAGGTCGTCTAGATTTGAAATACCATCATTTATATTCTTGAACTTTTTTTCTAATTTTATTTTGTTATCAATTGAACTATCGTAACTGCTACTGAAATCGTTAAAATGCTGTTTAGCTCATATTATAATTATTCAATTCTTCATTTGTAATAAATCTAGCGATTTTAAATCCAACAGTCCATGATCCCTAATGCAATCTTTCGTTCATCACCATTTAAATGCTTTAATTCCAATTTATTTAATATAGCCTCATTATTATCATTAAACGTTATCCATTGTAAAACCAACATGTTTTTAGATCAATTAATAGATTTAATGGAGTAAAAATGTGCAGCTATCAGCTACGCTACTGCTTGATCAAGATGAGATGAATTAATGCTGTCAGGTTTTTTAATTTCCATTAGTACAATTAATTATACTACGTAAAGAGTCCGAACTATCCCATAAAACATATAAGTCTGATTTGCCTTTAAGAAACTTTCCTGATGATGTCTCCAAGTTTAACATAAATGATGAATTTTTCTGATAATTTTTTATCATCCACCAATAAAGTTTTATAAATGAGCCCTGAAAATATTCTAGGACTTTTTTTGTATTATGATCACTCTACGAAAATTCACTTGGCTCAACTTTAACATTTAATGATAGCTTATCAATTAATTCTTGCGCAATAGAAATCGCGGAACGGACTTTCGTATGTTTGATCCCATAATCTTGTAATACATTTCAACAATACGGTTGCTTACTTGTGACATTGATATAGTTTTAGTTTCGCGTTCATCGAGTTTCTTGCTCATTTTTTCTAAATTTTCATTCCGATTCTTTACCATATTTTTTAAATTTTCACTCTGATTTTTTAAAGCCTTTTCTAAATTTCATTAATTTTATCGTTTTCTTCATGTTTTATAATATATATAATAAAGAATAATGCATATCGGACAATGTTAAATGCGTTTTTTCATGTATAATCGTAATAACTTAACCACAAACGTGCTTACCTTGTTCTTTATGAGATGCTAAAAAAAAAATTCAGATGAAAAATAATTTAAAATAAAAAAAATCGGTTTAACATCATAAATAATATATACATTTCTATAACTTCTTTGCGGTTAAAAAATCATAAAAAACTGATTACGTACCAGATTCTTTTACTAATACTTGAATTGGTGTGTCAGGGGTAGTTGTAAAGTTCTTATCTATAGTTAAACCAGGGTGCAACTCAGTTTCTTCGCCATGTCTTTTTAAAATGATCCGACTAACTGGAACATTGTCCAAAGAGGGTGATAACTTTACTTTGATTGCTTCTTTTAAATCATCAACATCACTTTTTTTTCTTAGGATAACTTTTACTGCTCGATTTTCCCCATGTTTAACCCAGACCTTGCAGGAGGGGGTGATGTTTTGCCAATTGAAGTAATGCAATATTAAATTTTTTAGGACCAATTAATTACTTACATTCCCTCACGTGATAAATATTTGTCAGTCAAATACATTTTCTACGACATTTTAATTATTGCAAAAATACAAGCTATCTTTATTTCATTAAAGGATAATTCTTTTATATTAAATATTACATAATATATACAAATCAACAGTTTTCTTTATCAAGAATATATTAATATTAACTAACATATATTATTAAAGTTAAATGTCTCACCAAAACATTTTTTAGACATCTCTATCTGATTATGAAATGATTCTCTAATATGGATATGTATTCAAATAATAATTTGAACAGTAAGAAAAATGATACTGATACTGGCACATTTAATGTACTTATTATCTATTAAGTCAACAACCAAATCTGTATTATCATTATCATCAATACAATTACTTGTACACATTTCATAGAATAAAATGTTATTTACTTAACAAGTATGCAAAACCTATTTTCAACGTAAAAGTAGGCAGCTCCACCTCCATATAAAAAGATAAGATATCTACTTGATAGTTAGTACACTCTTTAATTTATTTTTTCTTTGAACAAAGATTAGTATTGATGCATGGTTTTTAACAATCAATAATTTTTTTAAGAAAAGTTTCAACAAATAAAAAACACATATGGACTTAGATATCAAGGCTATATACACATTATAGAATGATTAATATATATATTTATTTATCATTCAATTTTTAAAATTTGTTTTAATTAAAAAAATTAATTTGATATAGAAAATGCTGCAACCAAAAAAATCTATCATCTTTAAAATTTACATATGGCAAAGGAAGATTTACTAAAAAAATGATGATATCAGATAAATCATTGTAATATATATCTTTAAAAAATATATTTCATCAATTCATAAGATTAAATTTATTTATAATAGATTTTTGCATATTTAATATTGTATTATTTGGTATTGAGTGTGCTTGGAGCCATTCAATGGAAATGAAAATTCTACTAGCAATAAATATCATTTAAAAAGCAAGAAAATTCTCCAAGAAATTAGAACATTTGTGTTCAAGAGAAATATACTAGGACTGTGTTGGAAACTCAGATTTAATTTTTCAAGAGAATGATACATTTAGAATTTATTTACAAAAAATCACTAACATATAAATATGGATCTTCTTATTTAATATCTGGATATTTACTATTTGAAAAACAATCTTGGCAAGTTGCATTAGACAAATTTGCTGCTTCAAGATAATTTATAATTATAGTTACAACAACTATAGCATAGATACATATAAACGCTTAAAATATTTATTTATGGGACAATATATATTATATGCAGCTGGAACTCCACATCAAGAAACTTTATGTCAATCTGTAATTGATGATACTATCCAAATATTCATTGTTATGCATTTAAATTGCAACTAGGTGCAGATGGCAATACCGGTGTTGAGGTATTATAAATGACTTTAAGAAAAAATAAAAAAGTTGGATTAGATTTATTAGAAGGTGATTTTTTATTATTATAGTCTATTCTCACATAATCTTGTCAATAAAAAGCATCATTTCTTGAATTTATAACTTGGCATGATTGACTATATCTCTTAAAATACAGATTGGTAATTTACATTTTAAAAGCTCAAGATGCAATAAAAAACCTTGAAAATGCTTTAGATTCAAAAGCTTAAGATTCAATGATTTGATGCACCTTTAGAAGCTTATGGCGATGCAAAAAATTTGCTGTAAAGGAAGACATGGTAAAATATACTTTCTTTATTCTTTAAATATATATATATATATTAGTTTGTCAAAATATTATAATTTATTTATTTGTTATAATCTTTGATATATATATATGTATATATATATATAGGAAGCTACAGCAAAAGTCAATATTATAAATCGGAACAATTGACAAAAGATCTTGATTTGTTTATAATTATGCAGTATATACAAAATTCAACATAATGGAAACACTTAAACATAATTCAACGTAATTCAGGTTAAATTTTTTGGTGGAAAATATATCAAGAAATTGTCAAATTATAATGATATTAATGATCTTAATAGAATTGATACAAAAAACTTGGTATTATAAAGCATAGAGAATAAATAAATATTTAAATACATACCATGAATCAACCAAAACACAATAATGACAATAATAGTAGTGATAGTGATAATTAATTTTTTTATATATGCTGTTCTAAACAAAGAATTAAAAGCTATTTATTATGTGAGTGTGCTAGAGATTATAACGCATCATTATCAAAAATAACTTCTAATAGCAGTGGCAATGATGATGAAATTCTAGTCGAAAGGATGTTGATGAATTAGAAAATCTCTTGAGCTTAAAAATGTAAAATATATGCATCAGTGCCTTCATGGTGCTGTTTCAGAGAATTCAGTTGAAGATAAAGATAACAAGGATGACAAGGTATTTTCCCATTATTTTCCTATCATATTAATTTTATATTTTATAAATATTTGTTTATTTATAAATTCTATTTTTTTAAAAAAAAACTTGTTTTTTGAATCAATATCCTATCAATTTTTCAAAGACAAATCCACGATTAATTGAATCCTTTCACAATTTTCGCCCGTTCCAACAAAACCATGATTTTTGGTATAGTACACAACTCTTTAGATTTTACATCTAGTCTATCACAAAGAGCTAGATTATTTAAAATATATTTGGACAAAAGTAATAATATATTTTATTATAACCAGTATAATTTAAATTATGCAAAAGTTTTTTTAACACAAAATTATAATGTTCAATATGAAAAGGAAAAATCATGTGATTTTTAATATCTCTATAATAAAAATGTATTTTTCTATTTATATAATTAATTAATTAAATAATTGCATTGTTACTGTTGTTATTATCATTATTTGTTCATGCAAATAATTGTAAAATTTGCTTTGTTTTTTTCCCGCAACCAGGACATGATTTTTTGTGTGTTTTGAATTGACTTTGACACTCTCCACAACTTACATGCCCACAATCTAAAGCAAACAGCCTATCTTTCAGTTTAACTTCACAGTTCATACATATTAAAGTTGTATTTTTTTCAATGTTCTTGGTATATCCCTCTGGTTGAGTAACTCGTGCTGGTCGATGTTGTTGTTTTGGTGGCGGTGGTTGTTGTTGTTGTCGTTTATTCTTAAGACTTGTAGTTCGTGATGTACTACGAGCTAGTATCTGGTTACTAAGAACTGCTGTAGCAGATCTTGTTATGCGACGATTTGAATTGATGCGAACAGCTTGATTACTGTTTCTCATTGATCCAGCAGCAGTATTTTGAATCTAGTTAAAATAAGTTTTATTGATAATTTAGTTATAAAAAAACATATTCAAACTTTTTAAAAAATGCTTTTAATTTACATTAGCGTAATCACGTATTCTAAACATGCTAAACATGATTATGGTGGTGGTTAAAGTTGACACTACTATGATATGGATAATAAATAATAAATAATATAATAAATAATAACAAATGACAAATGAATCCGTGTATTTTGTCACACCTGCGGCTTATTTGTGTGGCAGGTTGACGATCAGACTGTCTAATGTAACGGTTGGCTATGCTCAATGTCATATTTACCTTTTTTGGTGATTTGAACAGTGGGTAGCTAGCGCATATCGAGTGGCTAAGTCATCTTCGAGCAGGCAGACCTTTAATTTTTACTATGTTGGGATTAGTATTGAATCCAGAGTTCTCAAACGAATTTAATAATAACAGATAAAATCTTATTTCTTAAAAAAAAAAAAAAACTTTAATCACATTGCATGACCATAAAAACAGATTTTTAAAAAAACTTAAATTGATCAATTCATCACGCAATTTTCAAGCATGGAGGTTTTGATAGATTGACAGTACTTCATCAATAAAAAATAATATTGGATTGATTTTTTTTCTTAATCTTTCAATTATTTAAAAATGATTTAAAAATAGGGCTTGTTTGTAAAATAAAATAAAAATATGAACATATATGTAACATAATAAAATATTTTAAGAAATTAGTATTTTTACCGTTGTAAAATTTAATATTTATTTGGTTGAATCATAGAAAAAAAAAAAAGAGTAATTAGTATGATTTTTACATTTTTAGATTGTTAGTGAGTGACACTCCAATTACTATTATGAGAATTCTATTTATTTATTTTATTTATTAAGCATCAGAAAAAGTATCATCACAGCCTCATCAAAATCTTCCTTACTATTTTTCTTTTACAAAATTTCTTTTCAATTTCAATATTCATTTTTCTTTTCTTTTTTTCAAACTTATTATTCCAGACTTTATTATTATTTATTAATTATTAAACAAAATGATATTTAAACGAAATATTATTTTATTATCATTTTTAGTGGGCTTAGCAACCATACTAAAAGGTAAAATAGCCGAATAAAAAAAAGTATTATTATATTTTTTAAAAATCAAAAAACTTATCTTAATTCTTCTTTGAAAAACAACTCATGTAGGCATTTTTACACAAAAAATTCACTGTGATAGGGAATCACAATTTTGTTTGACTGCATCAATTCCTAATGTTTCTTTTGATCCAAAAGAAACTTATGCATTATTTCGAATGGAAGCACCATCAACAGTCGGGTATGTATTAACCTATATACTATATGATGTTTATGATTTAAATTTAATTATTTGTTCAATCATAGATGGATGTCAATGGGAATTGGGAGAAATATGATTGGAAGTTATATGGTGGTAAGTTTGTTTTAATTATTTTTTCATTGATCTTTCTCGTAAATATATTAGAGATTTTTTCTTAAAACACTTATTCCTTTAATTAATTATTTAATTAGATTGCATGGCCTTGTGCTAATGGCAGCGTTATAATTTCGCAACGTATTGCCAAAGGATATGAAGTTCCAATAGTGACAAAGCATCAACATGATATAATGTTAGATCCATCAAGTGGCATTCAAGGAAATAAATTGGTGGTACTTTTCAGACGTCCATTATCTGTCAATGGCTCTTTAATCACAACCGACACAACCACTTACATCTGGGCAATCCATGACGCTGAACGGCCTGACGAAGATCCAAACACTATGGGAATTGAAAGACATAATGCACTTGGCAGTTTTGATATTGCTATAGACACTACCAGCACTGATACTACCACTACTACCACTACTAAATTACCATATTCTGAACGTGACACTTTTATTTTCATGCATGGTTTAATTATGTTTGTTTCTTGGGGTTTTATTGTTCCTGGTGGTATATTTATTGCTCGTTTTGCTAGAAATATTTTACCAAAACGTTGGTTTGCTCTTCATTGGGGTCTTCAGACATTGGGTGCTTTACCATTATCAATTGTCGGTATAGCGATGACATACCTTGCTGGTGTAAGATTCAATATTGAAAATAGGCATCATGTAAGTTTTTTTTCTTTTTAATAAAAAAAAAAAAAAAAAAAATCCAATAAATTTAAAATATTAATTATTATTATAATAATACATTTTACACTTAGGTTATTGGAGGTGCTTTAACATTTTGTTTCGCTGTTCAACTTTTAATTGGAGCCATTCATCATCATTTATATAGCCCAGAACGTAAATCTATTCCTTGGTGGACAAAAGTTCATTGGTAAGGATTCTATATATATATAAGTATATATACATATATAATCGTGTATTAATTTATTTATAAAAATAAATGTTTAAGGTGGTTCGGAAGATTTGTTGTCATCCTTGCATTTGTACAAATCCCAATTGGTTTTAATCTTTTCAATGTTTCTAAAACATACATTGGTGGCTATTTTATCTATTCAATGGTTTTAATCATCACATACATTACATTATCAATTGCATTTTGGAGAAGAAGGAAAAGTGAAATTCGTAATTCTGGACGTTCGACTGTTTTGTATACCGGAGTTCGTCAAGATGATGGTGATTTTGAAAGTAAGTAAATTTGTTTCCTTTTGTTTCTATGAGACTATTTATAAATGCTAATTAATATGTTTTTGATTATGTTTATGAATAATGTTTAAAATAGGTCTTTTAACAACAGAAGTACAATAAATCTTCATCAAAAAACATTTTTTGAAATTAAAGCATTTTTTTGCGGTAATTTTAATTTGTATTTATCAATATGTATGATCAATCTTTTAAGGTTTAAAATTAGATTGGTAGATTTTTATTTTTTTCCTTGTAGGATAAATTTTTTTGGTATAGTTTATTTTGTAAATATGTATGCTCAATTAAAATATTATTATTATGATATTTTTATTGGAATATTAAGTAATAAATTTAAATGTTACTTATATTATATATATATATATAATTATTAAATTAATGAAATTTTCACATTAATTTTAAATTTGATTACATTAAATAACTAAAATATTAAAGTAATCTAAAGTTATAAAACAACTTTTCAGTTGACTTTAAATATAGTATAGCCTCTATATAACGAAACGTCACCCATGTTCGTTATAGAGAGGTTTCTGTTTATACGTTACCGAATTTATTAACAAATTTCGTTATAGAGAAATTGAATATAATTACTCATTTAAAATAGTCGGCAAGCATAAATTGAATTTACATATTCTAAGAATTCCACAAACAACTGATATAAATCTATTTGTAATTCCAAATTCATCATCTTGTTGCTCCAAAAACAAAAGAGCCTCGCTATATAAGTAATACAAAGTTCTCTTGCTCATCAGAATCTGACAAGTTATTTAATGTCATTAGATTGTTCACCCACCAATCATATCAAAGAATTCATTTTTGTGATCACGTGTTTCGGTGTAGTGAGGTAAATTTAATATTAATATAGACTCTGGTTATACCGGTATAATGAGTGAGTATTCATATTAATATGAAAAATAAATCTTAATAGATATTAGTATAAATGTACTTTCGGTTAAACGAGGTTCATTATATAGATGTTTACTGTAATTTAAAATAAACACTTGAATTCTGGAAAGATAAACTAACTTTATATGTGCATTTTCTCAATTACAACTGTAAAAAACAATAAGAGATCGAGTTTTCTAGGAAGATTATATTCATTTTCTTCACTCCCGTTACCATGAGATCATCCTATTCGAAATAAAATTTCCAACATTTCATACTTTCACAAAATTCTTAATCTAGTGCTGAAATTTTCTTTAAGAAGCATTTCCTTGATCATTATTATTATTAGATTTACGCCTCGTGGTTTTCAATTTGTTCTTTTTCATAATTTTGATTTATTCCTAATATCTTCAATTATCAAATATACATTCGTAGATGCTTGCATTGTGTGTCTAGTTCATCATAAATGGAGTGGACATTAGTCCACTATATCGTAACGGGAACGCAAATAAACAGGGTGTTAGTATTAGAATTAGTATTAGTATATATATATTAACCGGGAATAATAATACCACTAGGAATATTATGACAATAAACCTCTTTTATATCCCCCTTCGGGATATAGCTCAAACAGTTGATCATTTCACGTGATTTTGAAGTTTCAAAACTTTTAATATTTAATGAATTCGGTCAACAAAGATTGGAGTTTTGCTTTTATCTACAGAATTATTTAAACATTTTATTGATTCACCAACATACCTAACATCTTTTCCTGTAGCAAATTCTTGTTGTTCCAAGAATTTATTTGCAGTTTCAAATGCTTCCCTTCCTTCTTCTATAGAAATAACTGGTTCTTTTTCACTCGTGTTTTCTTCCACTCCCATTGCCACTTCAACATGTTCAGGTTACCAGGCACCTTCTGAAATAAGAATATCTTCAATAATATTTTCATCAGTAGGTAGATTCAATGGTATATATAGATACCTAATTTCCCTTACACGTCATGTACAAATAAGGTTAAAATTGGGATATGCCAAAAATTTGGGGATAGGGATATGACTCAATTGGGATATAAATGAGGTAAAGTTTATCTGTGAGATTTAAATGATAAACAAGGGGATTATAAACGAGATACATATCTTTTTTTAAAAAAAATCGTGGAAGGTTGAGAGAAACCTGTTTACCCACTCACCCTCTTAAATAGGTGACGATTAGTAATGGTTCGCGATCCACGAATTAATTTATAGAAATCATCATATTTATTATACCCTTCTCTACCTAATCAAATTTAGGAATTCTGACGTCTGCTGTCGTTAATGTCTATGAATATGGCTCTTACCTATCTTATGTCTCGACATAATCCTTGATCTCTATGGTGAACGTCGCTGGTGTCGTTTGCAATGGAAATCGAAAATTAATAAAACAGAAGGCATTTGGTGCTTTGTGCAAGAAATAATAATGCTAGAACAGTTGTAGCGCTTGGAGATAGTAAAATTTCATCAGCAACTTCGCCATGAACACTGTAAGGTGCTATACATTGATGAGTTCCGAACATCTTTGGTCTGTTCCTTGTGTGATGATTGGGTGGTTGATAAGCATCAAACTGCCCGACACATTAGAATCGAGATGTGAATGCTGCTGCCCGTAATATTTTTACACATGAACACGAAGAGGCCAACATGGATTGGGATTACCTCTGCTGTTATTTTTAGTTGTGGCAGAATATAATATGTTAACTGGGTAACACTTGTTAATCACCCAATAATAAGCCTTGCACATGAAAGAGGAGATCACGTGGAAAGGGGTTGATAAATCAACCAACATTGATCTTTAAAAAAAAAAAAAATGAATAAAAAAATATTAACAAACATTTATAAAGATAATTTGCAATGTTTAAAAAACTACAACAAAAGATCAATTTTTCAAATAAATCATCAAATAGCCTACTTTAATACAAGTACTCGACTTTCTTATACTTCTCCTTCACTGACACCACCACCTCCTACACCTCCAGGTCCACCTGAAGATCCTTTACCAAAACCACCGCCCTTTATAAACTCACCAATTGAAAATTTACCCCCACCTGATAAAACTGGATCTTCAATTAATTTTCGTATGTATTAAATATTTTTATGCAGTAATAAATGTAAATGTAATTATAATTATAGTTCTTTAGAACAAAACGTCTTTTATATACATCATGTAAAAAACAATTATTGTCATTTATAATAATAGCTTGGCTTTATAATGATCAACCACCTAGAATAATACAATATCCATATCATACGGCAGAATTTAAAAGAATTTTATTAGCAAATCTTTTACCTTTAGAGTTACAACATAAATTATGTAAATGGTTCGTTATAAGATTTCTAAGACGATTACTACCAGAAACTTATTTTCCTGACGAATTCATGTTAGGCGGTAATAATAATCAAATCATTCTTAAAAAAAAAAAATTGCATACAGATTTAAAATTATCTAATTTTTTTTTTAAAAAATGTATAGCATCGTTAGCCGTACAACAGATATGTGCATCACTTTCAAGTCCATCTAATCGGGAACAATTAGAAAATATGTTTACTCCAAGATTATATAATCGCTATATTACTGAACTTGATAAATTATCAACCGAGAAATCCACAATAAAAATAAAATTATCAAAAATTTATAATTTAAATATACGTGATATTTGGTTAAACACTGGAGCTTCAGAATTATATTCAGATAATAACAAAAATAAAAATAAAGACGATGGTTTTATTTTTGAATGGATGACAATTAAATTAGGTGTCAAACAATCATCATCAAAAGATGAAAACACTAATACATCATCACCATCGACAACATTTAATGAAGCAAGACTTAGAACATTAAAAAGTGTTGAAGAAGGAATAAGATTTAAGGTGGATGTAGAAGTAGATGCTGATGTTGATTATATTTTAAAAACAAAAGATAACGTAGACTTGATAAATGATCAATCAAGAAGAATTGTATTATTTAGATTTGAAACGCCCTATTTTGATTCACCATCAGAAATTTATTTTAAATCAGATGAAAAAAGAAGAAAGAATATAGATGATAATGACAATGATAATAATTATTTTAATAATAATAAATTTTTTAGGGGTACGAATTTTGATTATAATGATGAAAATGATAATTTAAAAATGAATTGGAATTGGGTGGTTGGTGATATTGATTATTTGTTAGAACTTGAAGATTTAGAAAACGAAGAAAGAGAGTCTCGAGAATTTCAAGATGTTGGTGAATAATATAATCTGATAATATAATAATAATTTCACATTTACCGGGATTCATAAGTTCATTAAATCTTATTTGAAAGGAAAAAAACTTACATCTTTCTCCAACCATTCAGGAGGTTGCAGAGTACAAGATTATATTTGCACTACATATGTAGTAATAATAATAAAAATTATTAATTATTATCATCACTATCAAAAAATAAAATTACAATTAAATAATTATTCAAATTAATTAAAAAAGCAATGATAATTTTTGCCCGCTTTTAAGAAAGATTCCATACTTTCAAATACTGCAACTTTAAGATCAAAAACTTTTGTCTCCAAATTCACCAGAAACTTGATAAATAGCTAGTGGTTGCATCTCCAAGTAGACATTCCAGGTTTAACCATTATAACATCCAATATCACGTATGATTGCATAGCATATCAATCCACGCGAATTTGGTGGTAGTTGTTAGTGTTTACGATTACCAAATGTATATATATATACACACAATTATTATTAAATACTTCGTATACAATGAATTAAAGCAATAAAAAAAAGGTCTGTAAAACGAGCTAGCAAATTTAGCGGTATAACTTCTTTATGGTTTAACTTTCTTCGTCCATAAAAAATTTATTTTATTTTTTTCAATAAATTATGCAGTTAGAACTAGCTAGCTTTACATAATTAGTTGCAACTATAGCTAGTCTTTTAACACTAGCTGCATTATGTTTAATCCCATCTTTATTTAAATGTCCTAATAAAAAAATGATTTTGTTGAAGCCATTGACTTTACAAATAATAAATTCACAGGTAGGTATATATATATATATGTATGTATATAATAAAAGCCTCGATTAATGTTAATTTAATTACCACAATTTCCATTGCTTGTATATTCACAAAGACAAACGTCAATATTCAGGAAATTTTTTCACAAAGTAATTTGATTGAAAGAATTAGGACCAGCAAAAAGTGTTAGTATGTTGTTATTTAATGACTAATAAAATTTCTTTCAAATAATGAACAATTCTTATGTTTGCTCTATAATAATAATAATAAAGTTAATAACACTAAAGCAAATAATATATGATAATTATGATGACATAAATTATAATTACAAAGATTTCAAATAGGTAGTAAATCAATTTAGTTGTATTTCTCCATTCTCTTGCATTTAGCCGATAATGTGAATGTGGCTTCATTTCACCTATTGAAACAAAGATTCACAATTAAAGTGAGACGTTTTGTCATTTTAACTTTCTGCAATTAACAAGTAAACCAACCTTATTGCACTAAATCAGGAAGATCCAAATCCTCCCTATAGCTAATTGTTGCATCATATAAAGTCATCATCATTACTGCTGCTGCTGCCACCAACTAGACATATCCTGCCACAGTTAAAGTGCCCCTTATAAATGGATCAGGTCTCTCTCCATAAGTGTTTGCGTGCAAAAAAATGTTCCTTATGTTACGGGCAGCATTAAAATCTCGATTCCAATGTGTCGGACAGACTGATTTACACCAGAATTTTTGATGCTTATCAAATCACCAATCACACAAAGAACAGACTGAGGAAGTATGGAACTCATCAATGTTCACCACCTTGCAGTGTCCTAGAAAGCTCTCGGCGAAATTCTTTTACAGGGCCTGGATAGAGATGTGCCATGCGCATTATGCACATAATAGATATAGATAAATCTGTGCTACGTACCAAAATTTTAATAAATTTTTTTTTAAAATTCCTGATGCTTACCATAGTTTTCTTTCGTCATTATTCTAAAACAGTTAAATTTGAATTATTCTCTGAATGGAAAATTGGAGTTATTTAAAAAAATATCCACGCAGATTTTTGATTTAATATTAACATTTAATATACATTTTCTGCTTGGCCACGATAATGCTGTCACAAAAACTAAATTATTCTGGCATATTAGAATCGTACGGCAAAGATTTAATTTCTTATAAACTTGCAGAGAAGAGAAGGGAAGAGAGGGAAGAGGGAGTGCAGTTCATTTATATAGGTGATTTTTTATAAGTTTGTGAACCTGTTTACTTTTTTTCAGTCACAAATTAATTTTAAAATTTGAATAAATAATTAACACATTAGAATGCCGGAAATTTCACATGTATCTAATTATTATTATCTATTTTTTTGTGTACTGGTACACTCATCAAAAACATCAAGAACCATCGGATAAGAAAAACCAAAATTACAATTCTTTTAATTGGCCGGAAATTACTTAACAGCTAACTTTTAAACTAATTGTTGTGAAAATTGACAATAAAACATAATTTTGGACCTTCTGAACATTTTTTTTTTATGGCAAGAGAACATGTTTTTGCATTGGCTTTAATGAAAAGTTCAACAATTTTAAGTTCCAACCAACAAATGCACCTCAATTTGAGATCTACATTTATCCATTGATTCTTGATTCAGGCGCATGAGATCATGCCTGTGAACCATTATCCGATCAATCAACATGTTTGTTACGAAATCA